ATGTGTGTGTGTGTGTAACTGTGTGGGCATGTACACCTCACAGCATGTAGTATGAAGGTCAGAGGACAACCTTTAGGAGACAGTTTTCTCCTTCTGGGGTCCTAAGGGTTCAAACTTAGGATGTCAGGCTTGGTGGCAAGCACCTTTACCTGCTGAGCCACCTCAGCAGCCCTCCATCTTATACACTGAAGCTCCCTCACTTGAACTCAGTAGATAGCCAACCTGCTCCAGGATCCCTGTCTCCACCTTCTAAGGCTGGGATGACAGGTGGGACACCACACAACCTGGCATTTACACGGATTCTGGAGATCCCAACTCCTGCTTTATCTGGTGGGTAATCTCTCCATCCCTAAAGCCAATGTCTTTTAAACAAAGGTCTTGACAGAAACCATCAGTACCCACAATTGTTTTTTAAAAACTGAAATGGATAAACAGAACAATGTTTCCTTCTTCAAGCTTCCTGTTTAACCTCCCCCTGCCCTCGAAATGAAAAATAAAGTCCCATTCAACACAGAGACTAATTTATCGAGGTCTATTTGGGCCAACAATACTTGCCGTTTTGTTTCTTTGGTGTTTTTTTAATTTATTTAATAAAAAATAGAGCAAAACAAAACATATTGTACTTTCAGGCTTCATAAACACACACAAAAAAAATACCAAAAAAGATTCACGAGTGCTAAAATAAAGATTGTTTTCCTTCTTGCCCTTCTCCACCCAGGGAAATAAAATTTCCCACCAAAATCAAAACACTCTCTTTTGCTCGCTCACTTGGCTAGCACCCAAGTCTGGGAGGAAGAATTCTGACGTCAGCAGGTCAGCTCAAGGCCTCACAATGTGCGTCTGTTTCTGATTTGGTTTTCTGTTCTTTGCTGGATATCCCCCACCCCACCCCGCTTCTCTTAAACCCTAACACAAAAACCAGGAAAGAGATTTAAAACAACAACAACTTGGTAAAGGTCCCAGACACTAAACTAACTTATCCATGGAGCTGAGGCCCTAAACCAAGCATCTGGAACGTAGATATAGGAAGCTTGACTCATCACCAAGGAGAGAAGCCTGTTTCTCACCCAAGCGGTAGGAAACGGCTTGATGGTGCTGATCTTGGAAGAGCAGCCAAGCTCTGGGAATAGTGCAGACGTAGGCCTCCCCCTCCTTAAGACAGTGTGTCCCCAGCTTGTGTTGGGGTCAGGTGGGGTAGGACATGAACAACACAGCTGCCTTCCTGATGTAACAGTGCCAGGGAGAAGGGTGCAGGAGAAATGAAAGATTTCCCTCTTCAACTGGAAGCATGGCCCTCAGAAATGGGGTATTCAGGAGAAATGTTTCCTTCCGATCAAGCCCATCACCAAAGCCTGGGACACAGTATTTAAAAACACATTACTAAGAGCTGGTAGATCACTCAGTTGGCAAAATATTTGCTGTGCAACCATGAAGATATAGGTTTGCTTCCCAGGCACCACCAAAGAGCCAGGAGGGAAGTCACGCCTATAATTCCAGCACTGGGGAAGCAAATACAGGAGTATCCCAAGCTCTAGACCCAGTGAGAGACCTTTTCTCAAAGATAAAATGGGGAATGGGGACATGGGCCAGTGGTCAAGAGAGCTTGCTGCTCTCCCAGAGATCCTGAGTTCAATTCCCAGCACCCACACGGAAGCTTACGTTCAAGGGAAACTGATGCCCTCTACTGGCCTCCCCAGACACTTCCATGCACACACAGACACTTTACATACATAACAAACATACGCGTGAATAAAAATAAAATATTTAAAAACTAAGTAAGAAGTTGGAGAGTTATTGAGGAAAACATCCAACATCAGTCACACACACACACACACACACACACACACACACCCATATGCATGCCCACCCACATGAACACATATACACACATGCCCACCTGCACACAAATGTGACCACACATATGAACACAAACACACACGTGTGTATGCACACCCAGGTTCCTGCATGTGTGTACACTCACTCACACATGTATGCATGCACACAATCTCTCACACATATATGTATGTTCACATGTGCCCATCTGTACATACACATGCCCACACACATGAACACATACACACATACAGAATTAAAAAGATGTAAGTAGTGGCTATCAATGGCAACCTCATTCTTAGCCAGTGCACTACAGTTAGAACTGATAAGGCTTCATCGTCAGTCCTAAACAGCAGTTGTCAGCATTTTGTGGCTTCCTTGGGGGTGATATAGGTTTCTGTTTTTTGAGACAGGGTTTTAGGTTGCTCACACTGGCCTTGAACTCACTATGTAGTCAAGAATGACCTTGAACTTCTGATCCTCCTGCTTCTACCTTCCAAATACTAGTATCACCAGTGTGTACCTCCGGGTCTAATAACCTTGGTGCTGGGGATGCATCCTAACGAAAGAGCTCGTCAGTCCTCTTTAACAGCTTTAACCACACCACCAGCTTCCAGCTCCTTCCCCAAACGACACCCCCCCCCCAGGACTCACTTGCTGGAATTCATGGTATAGCCAGAAGGACACTCAGGGATGCACTTGTTGTTGTGAATGACGTATTGGTGACAGCCAGGCTTCCTAGAGTTCCTGCATTTGTAGTGAAGGTCTTGACAGAAGCTGAAGTTCACACAGCGCCAATCCTGGAAGTGGTAGTAGGGGGGCGGGCAGGTCTCCACACACCGACCGTCCAGGTAGAAGTTGCGGCAGGCCACACACTTAGTGGGGTCGTCCGGTTCCGAACAGTTGCCTAGGCACTCCTTGTGGCAGCACAGGCCTTCAGCTGTGCAACCATGTGACTTACAGATGGTCGGGCAAACTAGAGAAAAGAAGAAAGAAAACAGCTGGTCAAGGACTCTGTCCAAGTTGTCTGCACAAACTGCCAAACAAAATAATAACAATAACAGCCACACTTAAACAGCACTTGGCACGTGCCTGGCTGGCCTGTGAAAAATAACAGTAGCCCCCAAAGCAACTCCACACTTGGCAAAAGTTAAACAGTCACCTGAGGGAGGGGAGGGCAAGAGGCCTAACTCACAGCATTTGCCAGTTACTACCACCAACTTCAGGGTACTGACAGGAAGCCAAGGAACCAAGTCCTTGGCAAGAGACACAATACAACACTCTAAAATAGTGTTTTCCATAGTGCAAACAGTCTATGTCTATGGCAGATACAGTAGTAGTAAATAACTTCAAGGGCACACAGACTTTTATTGATGTTATGCCTAGGGCTGGAAAGATGGCTCAATAGAAGCCAGCACGGGCTGCTCTTGCAAAGGACTTGAGTTCAGTGCCCAGCACCTACAACAAGCTGGTGGTTCACTGTAACTCTGGCCCCAGGGGATCTGACACCTTCTTCTAGGCTTGGCAGGAACCTGCTCATGTTGCATATGCGCACATTTAAGGAAAAAAATATTTTCTGAAAAAGCCATATCATAGCTAAGAAGTGGTTGTTTCCATCATTTGTTTTAGGTTTACATAATTTTACTTATAGACTTAATAACTTCCCTATTTATTTATGTATTGCATTGTTGGGAATGGAACCCAGGACTTGCCTGGTTTCTATCACTGAGCTACACCCCATTACCTCATTGGTGGATTCTAGGTGGGGGCTCTACCACCAAGATACAAGCCCTTATATGTATTTCATTTGGAGACAAGATCTCATTAAATTACCCAGGTTCTCCTGGAACTCACTCTGTAGCCTAGGCTAGCCTTGCACTTGCCATCCTCCTGCCTCAGCCCATCACAGGGTTACAGGACCTATAACCACTTCAGGCTCTGTTGCAACTTGAAAGGTGATCCTACTCAGGAGGAATGAGAAGGACTCCAGGTGAGGGGACAGCCTGTGCCTCAACGACCTGAGCGGACAAAGTCACTGACTTTGTCCATGGGAGTCTGGCCTCTACCCCAGTTCCTTCCAACAGCCTTTTCTCCCATTATCTCATTGTGCAACATTGCCTCTTCTTATGTATCTTTCAGGGGACATGGGAATAAGTGTGGAGGTCAGAGGGCAAACAAGCAAAAACAAATTTAACTATAGTAAAACATCCGAAGAGCTTCCATCTCTGGCTGGGGGTGTGGCTCAATGCTAGAGTGTTTGCCTGGTGTGAACAAAACACTGGGTTTGATGCTAGCTAGCACCCCAAAAAAAAAAAATTGGACATGGTGATGCACATCTGTCTCCCATAATTCAAGAGGCAGAGACAGGAAAATCAGGAGTTCAATATGTAAGGTGGCATAATCAAACACCTGATGACAATCCTGTGCCTCCACACACACACACACACACACACACACACACACACACACACAAGAGCATGTGTACATAGAAACACACACAGAGATGCACTTATACCAATACACATACGTATGCAACTTTTAAACGAATTGATAAATAAGAAAAGCATGTGTCGGGCTGTGCAGCACCCCCATCAGCCATTCACACACAGAACCTTCTCACCTTTCCAAACCGAAACTCTATCCCTATTGATGCCTCTCACAGCCCTCCACGGGCCCAGAACCCACCTCCCTGCTTTCTGTCTCTGCAGGGACTTTGGATGAATGCAATCCTTTATCCTCCAAATTTGTCCACATGGTAGCAAGGTCCTTCTTTCTTTTTAGGACTGAATAATATTCTGTTGTAAGGGTAAATTATCTTCACTGAGTCCATCATTTTACCATGGTCACTTAGACAGCTTTTACCATTGGGATATTAAAAAACATGCTTCTACGGACACAGATGTACAAATATCTCCTTGAGTCCCATTTTCAATTCTTCCATGCATATACCCAGAAGTGGAATTATCAAATGTATATTGAGTATATGCCCCGGGGAAAGAGCCTGGAAAGGAGAAGATGGTGCTGGGTGTTTCACTTCATCCTCTCTCTTATTCCCTTGAGACAGAGTCTCTCACTGAACCCAGAGCTGAGCTGGCAATCAGTGAGCCCTAGAGATCTCTCTGGGGTATATAGCATGACTATTCCCTGCTTTTTACATGGATGCTGGGGATTTGGACTCAGCTCTTCATGCTTGCACATTAAAAAACTCTTACCCACCCACCTCCCCACCCCCAACTGTGTTAATTCTATTTTTTTTTTTTTTTGGTTTTTTGAGACAGGGTTTCTCTGTGTAGCTTTGGAGCCTATCTTGGCACTCTCTCTGGAGACCAGGCTGGCCTCGAACTCACAGAGATCCACCTGCCTCTGCCTCCCGAGTGCTGGGATTAAAGGCATGCGCCACCAATGCCCAGCTCTATTAATTTTGATAATGAACCACCACATAGTTTTTCTTCAGCCACTGAACCATCTTACATTCTCAACACCTTCACAAAGACTATGATTTCTCCTGAGGAGTCAAGCTTTGTGTTTCAATTCAATGCACTACTATTTCAATTTCAATTGTCATTACTACAGCCAGCTCTCAACTCTTCTTCGGGGCACAACATACTTGGAGACTAAACATCTTGGGGGTGCTGAGGAAATGTCCTAGACCTCACCAATGAGACTAGGCTAGCTGGCCAGCAAGCCCCACAGAGCCTCCCTACGCCACCCCAACACAGAGCCCAAGACTCCAAGCACACTAGGCAAGGCCACTACCCATGAAGCCACATCCTGCTGCAGTCTAGCCTCCTTTCCTTATGGGGACCAACAACAAACTGAAGTGCAATTCCGTCACGGTCCGGCTTAGAGAACCCAGGAGTTTGTTAGACTATGTGCAGAGCACAGGAGCTTGGGTGTCCAAAGCAGTCATATCCCAGGAAAGCCTCACCCCTGATGAGATCGATCCGTAGTCCGTAAGGCTAAGGTTCCTTCATTCAGATAAACACCAACCAAGCGCAAGCCAAAGCGTGCCCAGAGCTCGCAAGCTAGCATGGCCAGAGAGAAGGGACCTCTCCCACATGTCTGCCCCCTTAAGAACTCCCCATGGGTCATCCTGCACCCCTCGACCATGCCCTGACAGGCGTGGTCAAGCACACCTGTAGCCGGCCTTTAGGAGGCGTGGCTACGGTGTCTCCCTACACACCCCAGCATGGATGATGACTTCTCTAGAGCTACACAGATAAGAGTCCTCCCTTCCACCCTCTATACACCCTAGCACCAAGACCATGAAGCCATGGGTATATGCATCTGACTGGGAGGTCAAGAGGGAGCAGTAAGAATGTAGGGGGGAGGAAGTGTGGTGATATAGTACTTATGATTTATTAAAGCTTGCCTGAGGATTCAGAAAGCAAAGTCAGTCTCAAGCTATAGAGATCAGGCAATGGTGGTATGCACCTTTAATCCCAGGACTCGGGATTAAGAGGTAGACAGATCTCTGTTAGTTCAAGGCCACCCTGGCCTACACAAGAGTAAAGAGTTACAGAGTTCATGGGATTACACACCTTTAATCCCAGGACTCGGGATTAAGAGGTAGACAGATCTCTGTTAGTTCAAGGCCACCCTGGCCTACACAAGAGTAAAGAGTTACAGAGTTCATGGGATTACACACCTTTAATCCCAGCATTAGGGAGGTATATAAGACAGGAGCAAGGTTTCAGAGCTGGCATTCATTCTCCAGCCACATTGAGGATAGGAAGGGTTGAGTCTCAGGATTCTCCAGCCACGTTGTGGACAGCATAGCAGTCTGGGATTGCAGGCTGAGGTTTGGTGAGACCAGATTGCCTTTCAGTCTGAGGTAGAGTGAGAGCTAGTGCCTGGCTGCTTTGCTTTTCTGATCTTCAGCTTAAAGCTTGAACCCCCAATATCTGTCTCTGGGTCATTTATTTTTCATGCTACAAGGGGGTAAATCCAATGATCCACCCCACCCCTCCTCCTAGGAGGGAATATCAAGGGGGATGAGGACGACATGGGACAGTTTCTTGTAGGTAGTCACCGCTACTCTAATGAAGTTGGCCTGTTAAACTCAGTGACAGCGCCCTGCAACACCTCCCCCAGTCCCTTCCCCACTACTATAAGTCCAGGAATACAGACAGCAACGCTACACAGGGCTGTCTGTGGCAACAATGTTATCATCATTAGTCTGGCTCTGTCTAGGGAGATCTGAAGGCTGAAACTCAATTGGAGGAAGCAATAATTAAAGCAGACGATTATCTAAGGCTCACAAAGACATGAACTCTCCCATACAACACACATAAGGGCAGGAAAAAGCCCATTTCCTGGGCCAGGGCTGCAGCTGAGGATCAGCCTCTTTCATTCACAAGAAGCTTCATCAAAGCCCTAATAAACACTTCCCAAACACATAAGCTCTGCAGCCCACACAACGCTAAAAGCAGCCAATGGTTGCAAACAAAGCCAGGGGCAGACAGCCAGGCACTTCAATCTTGCACTTTGCACTGTAGGATTCCATTTATAGGACATCCGGGAAGAGGGAAAGAAAACATCGTGACAAGGCAGACACGCCCACTAGCTACCACAGTCTGGAACTGGGGCGGATCAGGCTGTGGAAGCACCAGGGAACAGGGTAACGGCAAGGCGGACATGGCCAAACCACTCATTCACTTTTAAATTTTATTTTATTCATATATTCAAGGGGATGGGGTGCACCTACAGGGACCAGAGGAAGAAATCTAGGTGCCATCTTTTTTTCTTTTAATATTTATTTGTTGAAAATTTCACAGTTGTATACAATGCATCTTAATCATACTTATCCTCTCAGAACCCCTCCCATATCATGTCCTCCATTTTAAGTTTAGCATTTATTTATTAACCCATTAAAGACCTATTGCTCTGAGACAGGGTCTCTTGCTGACCTTGGAGCTAGGCTGGAAGCCAACAAGCCCCAGGGACACTCCTGTCTTCAGGCTCCACAGCACTGGG